CGGACTGCTCTTGCCCGGGAGGAATCTGCCGCCTCCTCAGGGAGGGCTCCGTGGGCAGTCTTCTTGGCCTTTCTCCCCAAGGCCGCACATGGTGCCAACACTGTTGCGGGGGGGGTGGGGGGGAGCCCCCCAGGGTTGTGACCCTGTCCCTCCCACTAACTGCTGCCTTCCAGAAGGAAACCAAGCGGATCACGGGACGGAGAGGGGGCAGGGTAGCAGGATGGGGCTGCCTGGAAGTCCGAGCCTGCGGGTTTGCTTGTAGGATGCAGGCCGGGAGAGCATGTGCACAGGAGGAACGGGTCTGGAGTTGGACAACCAAAGACACAGGCCCTTCCTTCATGAGAGAGAAGCAGCCATGGCCTTGGGAAGCAGAGAGGGGCACGGGAGCGTCCAGGGACCAAGCGCACCACCGCCCCACCCCAGGACCCCGGTGATCGCAGGCCAGGCACTAGGAGAGCAGGGCCTGGCCCCAGGATTCGGTCCCAGGGCGTAGGAGGGAGACCTAAGGGTGTGTGACCCTGGGGAGGCTTCAGGGAAAGGAGCCAGGTGGCTGGAGATGACAGAAGGGGCTCCGGGTGAGGGCCAGGGGCCCGAACTGCAGCTCATAGCACTCGGGACACGATCGGGAAGTGCAGTGGACATCACCGGCTGCAGGCCGGCCCTCTTCTGTCCCATCCGCCCGTCCTCAGGTCTCACCCAGGTGGGTCCCCACCATCCAGCATTCCCCGCTCATGCTGTGTGCAGTCCTGTGCTGGCCGGGCCCAGCCACCCTGGGCAGATGGCACGCGTGTCCCCCATGTGTCTCACGCGTGAGATGCTGCTGCCAGACCCCGCCTTTCCCCATCTGTACACTCTGGGGTGGTGGTCCCGTCCAGCGCGGACCCTCCTGGGGCTCTGGAGGTCCTGGCCCTCCCTGCTGGGCCAGCTCACGAGAGGGAGCCACTCTAGCTTGTCTCTTATAACTGCTTCTTAATAACAACTTTTTTTTTTTTTTTTTTTTTTTTTTTTTTTTTTTTTTGCGCAAAAGAAATACATCTGTAGTTCTAAAAGCTTGGCAGATAAGAAAAGCCTGAAAGACAAAAGTCTCCTACCTCGCCCTAGTGCAGATGCGCTGTTGTGGGTGCTTTGGAAGGGTGGCCCCGGAGTGTCAGCCCATGCCTGTGATGCGTGGTCCGGCTCCCAGGTCCTTGGCCTGTGCCTGGCCGTGTGTGTTGGGGCTGCTGGGTGGCTGGAGGTGCCTGGCAAGCATGGCCAGCACGCAGAGGGCAGCTGGCAGCTGGGGAAGTGCCTGAGACCGGCCACGAGTCAACCATTAACCTCGGCACCCCCCCCCCGGGACCCATTACAAAACAGTCACGGCAGGGGATGACGTTTTCAGGGCCAAATGTCCAGAGTGCCCAGTGGAGGGGCAGGCCCGGGCCCTGCGGTGCAGCTGGAGAGCACGTGCCCACAGAGACCTCGTGTCCCAGGACCCCAGGGCACAGTTGCTGCCGTTGAACGGCTTCCCTGGAAGGACCTCTGGGCTGACGGGCTGGGGTGACAGTGCCCAGTGTGGGGGTGTGGGTCCCACCGGCAAGAAACACAGCGGCTCGTACTCGGGGAGCCCAGCTTCCTGGGCACCCGGCTGCCTGCCCCTTCCTGCCCCTTGTGGTGTGACGTGCTTTTCTCTTGCTGTTCTTCCGGTAGAGCTCACAGCACCTCCAGCAGCCGACAGCCTCAAAGACCCTGAAGGGAGCCCCGTGGGTGCACAGGCTGCCCTTGCCATCGAAGGGGTGAAGGCAGAAGCCCAGGCCAAGGCCAGGCCCGCCAGAACTGCCAGGGCTCACCCTGCAAAAACTAAATGCTGCCAGAGGCCCCCCAAGATCCGTAACTACAACTTAAAGGACTGAGTTCCCCTGTCGGAGCTTGGGGCCCCGAGCTTCGATCGCGCGGCAGGGGTGCGTGTGCGCAAGCACCCATGTGTGCACGAGCGCGGGGTGCAGGCAGAGAGCTTCGGAGCAGGCGCCCCAGAGCCACCGAGGTGCCCCACTGACCAGCCTGGAGCCATTAAAGCCCATGCCTCCCGTGCTCTCTCTGGGCCGTGGAGCTGTCTGCTTGTCCCCCTTGGGAAAGGGCATCAGCGTGTGAGTGCCACGTGAGAGGAGTCCAGGCCGGCCTCCACGGCGGGGGCGTGGGGGGCGGTCACAGGCACCACGGCCCCCCCAGAACCCGCTGAGGGTGGTGGGGGACACGGGGAGCAGAATGCCCGCACACGGAGTGCTGTGCGTGTGAGGGGCCCTCCTGGGAGAAGTGAAAGCTGGGGGTCAGGGTGCGCCCCCGTGGCCAGTCCGGGTCCCCGAGCTCTGGCCTGCGTGCCGGGGCGCTCACATCAGGGAGCTGCTGTGGTGGACGTGGCCCTTCCGGTCCTCAGCCGGCCCCGTGAGGCCAACACGGCGGCGGGTCACTCCGGCGCCTCCCACGTCCACCCCGCAGTGAGGCATTCCTGACGCCCAGATGCCTGGAGCCGGGCGCCCGATCCCCTGGGCTCCAAGCACCGCAAGACCACGGCCTCACCTCGGTGCCCGAGAAACGCCCCACGTCGTAAGCGCGCACCCCTCACACCCGCGGGCGCATTCTGCAGTGAACTCAGCAGTTGGGACCACGGTCCCTGGTCTCGGGGGTCAGCGTGGGGGAGGCCAGGGCATGTGCTGCCCCCTTCATCCAGAGCCCTCGGCCTTTTTGTCCCCTGGCGTCCACACCTGGTTGGCACAGCCAGAGCACTCCTTGCCTGCAGCCGTGCTCAGAAACGGAGACAGCCTGTCCCCAACCCCGGGCAGAGCGTGGTTGTGCCCTCAGGGGGCCTGGGCGCTCTGCACTGAGGCTTTCCCTTTTGGGGCTGCCGGCTGTCACTGAACCGGGAGGACAGGAGAGGGCTGCCGGGCGACCTGTATGCATCACGTGGCCTTTGTGGCTTCAGTTTGCCCTCAAGTAAAATGTGAACGGCATCATCTGCCTGCCTGGCTCACAGGTGTGGGGGGTGTGCAGACGCACGTCACAAGGTGAGGCCGCGAACGGTGGTGGTGGTGTTTGTCCGACACAGCTGCCTGGTGCAAGACCGAGGGGTCACAGGCCAGGTCCCAGTGGCTTGAAATGGCCCCTGCCCCATCTTGTGCCTCTGTAACGTGCTTCATTGAGCTCCATGTGAACACACAGGCATGGGGGGTCACCCTTACTGCAGGCTTGTCCTAGGGGGCCACACTTCCAGGAGCCTGACCAGGCAATGGAGGGTCATTCCCAACATGCCAAGAAAAGCAGCAGCAGCCGGGAGGCGGCCTTGCCCAGGGGTGGCAGGAGTCCCGGTGCTCTGCTGTTTGTAGAAGTGGGGCACGGCCGTGTGACTTCCTTATGCTGAAAAACTGGGTAGAGATGTCCTGTCACTTCCCATGGAGACACCTTAGAGCCCGTGAGCAAGTCCCTGAGCCGTCTCTGTGGTACAGACCCAGGCCCTCCCTCCCAGGCTGTGTCACCCTGGAAACAGCCCCCATCACCTGGGCCCCTGGCAGGCAGCAGTGACTAGCAGGAAGTGAGCCTGGGATACTTTAAGTCACCAAAAGTCCCGAGTATTGTGCAGCACGGTCCAGCCGGTCCTGACCCGGGGTGCAGGATATCTGAAAAATTATTAAATCGGAAGAGAAAAAAAACCCATGGGAAGGTTGTTCAGGACATTAATTCAACTGTTGGCTTTAGGGCCCTCCCCACCCCTTTTCCTGGTGGGAAGCCCCCAGGGACAGGATGC